TATGCGTGGTCACATGTTAAATTTTCGACCAATCAAATTTCGATTTTAATATGGGAATGATCGGCAAGATTTTCAGCGGTGTCTTAGCCATTTGATGCGACTAAGCCGTTTGCATCATATTACTTTTACTTCTGTTATATTAATTCTTACTTGTTTTCCTTAAGGTTATTAATAATAAACTTTCCTTCTTACTTTTTCGGACTTCTGTCTTTCTTTTATACTACTAACTTCTGTTCTTTTTCTGATTTCTGTTTCGTTTATGATGTCATGGTAACCTTTATATTACACAAGCTTCCATATAGTCCAGTTTGTTATTCTCAACGAGTATGTCTTTTATGTAACCTTCTTGCATCCTCATGTAACTTCTTCAATTTATTATTTTTCAAATATTTTCTTGTCTTTTTATAAGACCCTCTATTCAGTTGATTAATTATCCTTTCCTTTGAACCCTCCATTCGGTTAATTAATTATCCTTTTTCTTTCAGTAACTAATTTATCCGAATTATTTTCTTCTGTGATTTATCTGTCTCGTGTAATCTTCATTTTCAGTCCATAATTTATCTGTGTATTATTTTTTTCTTTTAATAAAATAATTATTTCTTTTTTTATCATATGACTTTTCCTTGTAACTTTTACTGTAAATTGTTGATTATTTCCTTTTGTATTGCTGCGCCTTAAATAATGAAATTATTACCTCTACACTGTATAGCGCTGCCTATAAAATCCAGGTATGAATTAAATCAGATTCAGAATCCAATTTAAATAATACCAGAGGGATACTATGTAAAGAGGAATGTACTATTTAAAGAGGGGGATATATAATGAGAATCATATGATTTTGCAAAACGTGAAAACACGAAAATAAATATTTTACCCTTTTTTACTTTTTCATACAACAAAAACTTTTTTCTAAGCAACTTTTTTTACTTTTTTTAATACAAAAAAATGGCTTCACATGCAAATAAAAATACAAACTGTGCTAAAGTGATTGAAAAACTGCACTGACAGTAGAACGCACGTGAGAAAATCACAATTATCACATATTATGAAGAAGGTCACAGTAAAAGAAGTACAGCTTCAAAATTTAAAATAGAACCTAAACAACTTCGTGACTGGTTAAGTAAAAAGGAACAACTTTTAAGAGTTCAACTAGGTATAAAAAAATTAAATGCAGGTGCATTTCCAAAATATCCTGCTTTATAAGCTACTTTATTTGATTGGGTTAAAAAAAGAAGAGATAATCATTAAGCTGTTTCACAAACTATAGTTTAAATGAAAGCCAAATCATTTGCGCAATAACGTGAATAGCAAATCATGTGTCCTAATATTGAAACTTTTACTTTTAGTAATAAATGGTTAGATGGATTTATGAACTGTAATAAATTAAGCAATAGGCGTCATATTACAATTGTACAATACTTACCAGATGACCTAATTGAGACATAACAAGAATTTTTGGCATTTGTTATGTATCAGCATATACAATATGATTATCCTTTAGCTTTTATTGGAAATATGAATGAAACACCAATGACATTTTATTTGCCAAGTAATACTATTATTGATAAATTAGAAACACGTTGTGTTAAATTTCGTATAATATGACATGAAAAACTAACTTTACAGTAGTTTTAACTTGCATAGCTGATGGAACAAAACTCCCTCCTTTTGTAATTTTTAAACTTAAAAATGTTCCAAGATGTAATTTTCCATCAGGAGTTATTGTAAGAGCCAATCCAACAGGATGAATGAATGAAAATAAAATGCTTTATTGAATTAAAAATGTTTGGATTAAACGTACAACACTTTCTAATCCACAATCCTTACTTGTATTGGATTCTCATATTGTTGATTCTGTAAAACATTATTTTAATGAAAAAAATACCAATATTGCTATTATTCCTGAAGGATTAACATTACGTTTACAACCTTTAGATATATCAGTTAATAAATCATTTAAATCAAAGATAAATTTTACTTATTTTAAATTAAATTAATTAAATTATAATATTTAAAATTTAATTCTAATTTAATAAATTAAATTTTATAGATAAGGAGAAATTATAATAATTGGATGGCTGAGTCTGTAAAAGAGTTAACACCTGCTGGTAAAATCAAAAGATCTTCTTCTTAAACAGTTATAAATTGGATTGATGCATTATGGAATGCAGTTGATAATGGTTTAATTCAATGATCTTTTAAATGCTGTGATATTTCTAACAGTTGGAATGGAACTGAAGATGAGTTAATTTTTGATTTTAATTTTTTTGAAAAACTAAATCAATTAGATGATGAAATAAAACTTAATATTAGAAGAGGTGGAAGAAATAATATTGATGATATTAGTGAAGATCAATATTATAAAGATTTTACTTATAATAATATGTGGGATTAGGTTTCTTTTTTTTTATAATTGTAATAATTAAAAACGTAAATAAATATAAAATACTTTTTGTGATTGCGATAAAATATTCTTTGCGATTTTATAATTAAATAACAAAAAATTTGATTGGTTTATTATACAATATCTGGGTATTAATCAAAAATTTTGACGATTATGATTGAATTGTATCCTAGTATTACTTACAAGGGGTACTTTGCAAGGGGGTACTATAGGTAGTGCTGTACAATACTAAAGAATATATCACATAGAATCACGAGTAATGATGAAGGATATGTGTTATTAAAATAAAATAGACTATAATTATATATCATTGTGATACTGATCATATATATAATAATATGTTTTGTAATTTTATTTTGACTTTAATCACATTTTAAAATCTGTTTTTATTTTTTTAGTTATTTTTTTCTTTTTTTACACAAATACTCATATAAGTATTTCACTAGCTCTGCCCAAATTTATAGTTATGGCCTAAGTTATATTTAACCAGTTAATTAACGTATTAAGGATTTTTAGACCAGTTTCAACGTAAAAAAACTTACTGGTAGAACTTTTTTTTGTCTTATTGAGAAAAAGTTAACTCATAAAAATAGCCTTTATGAACTTAACCTAAGTCCTGCTAAAGAGTGAATCATGAAACTAATTGAAGAACTTAACAAAAACCTAGATAATTAATCAGGGATTATATTAAAAAAAAAATCTTTATTATTTTATACTTACAATATTTGTATTAATTCTTCCATTTTTAGTGAAAGATGAAATCATTGAAGTTGAGCCATTACCAAATTCAAAAAAAAATAAAAAGTGAAGTTAGATTATATTTATAAATTCTATAACATATAGAATCTGAATAATGTATTTATATTAAATATGTAGTTTGTTTTGATTTTACTTAATTTTATTTATTTTTCCCTCTTCTAATGCAATTCAAATTTATTTTACTTCTTCATTTTTATATATGAATGTTACCAGTAAAATCAAGTTATGAGATATAGTAAATCATTATGATGCATAATGTGATTTTACTGAAAATATTCCCATATATGCATCAAAATATTTGCAATTTGATTTACTACTTTATTTTTATATATGCATTGAAATAATAAAAACATGTTGCAATTTGATTTTTCAAAGCGTTAATACCATATGTTTATGATAAAGTTTCCAATTGATCATAATAACTCCTATTCAAATTTTACGCAGTTATTCTTTTTGACTTTCTTTAATATATTATGTTATTATATCGCAATACATCACAAACATTTGAAACTTGTATAAATTGCAATTTTGTAAGGTAAAAAAAGAAAGTAAATAGAGTTTTTTTGAAAGTTATTCACTAATACTTCATTAATAAATATTTATTATTTTAATAGTTTCTATCCTTTAAAACTGTTCATTTAAATTAATTTGTATATTTTCATTATTATTATTCAATGATTCTTCATTATTTTCTTCTTCACCTTGATTACCTACAATATCTTCAATATTTTCTTTTATTTGCTCATCTGTAGAACTATTCAAATGATTTAAAAAGGAATCAACTTTTTGTTGTTTCCCTTTTTTAAGATATTCAAGAAAATAAAAGCATTGAAAATTTAATGATACAATAGTATGATAATATAATCATAAATAAGAATTTGGTATTATTCTTGTTCGTTTAACAATTTATGATAATCACACTTTCCTAAAACTGGAGTACAGTTAGACTCCTATACAGTCACATCATATATAATCACACCTTTATATAAGAACCTATTTTGGCAAAACGAACTTTAAACTTAAATAAATACCTTTATATAGTCACAAATTAATTATAGTCACTATTACTATATGGTCTAAAACTACATATCATTTTTAATAATAATTAAACCTCATACAATCACAATTTTCTGATTGGCTTATGTTGAAAAGATTGAATTACCTAGCGTTTATAATGTAACTCAAAAACGTAACACTTAAAAATAGAACATTATAAAAATATAACACTTTACTCTGATAATTTTAATGAAAGTTTTCGCATTTTTTCTATAGCAGTATTTTTTATTAATGAGTTTTATGCAAATAACAATTATACATGATGTGTGTACAATTTTTTTTGTGCTTTTCTGATCTCCTCTTTTAAAATAATTTCCAACTTTTCATTTAACTTATTTTATTAGTTTATAAATATCTTCTGATCAACTCAAACAACCTTTTGACTGACTTAATCAATGTTCTGCTATAAGTATCAGTCTCAAACATGAAATTTGTGAATAAGCAAATAATAATAGTAACAAATATACTATAAAATAGCACAATATTTAATGAGAGTAACTCAACTTTAAATATTAACCGTAATACTATAACAAAGATATTAACAAATAGTGAAAAATAAAGTGTTGTAATAGAAATCAAAGGTCTTAAAAAAAGCTTTAGAAATAATGGAGTCAAATTTCTGATACTTGACAATGCTATGAATTTATGGATAGAAAATATAACAGCAAATGGATGTTATTTTAATGGATTTATTAATAAAATAAAAAGCAAGAGTTTTTGCAAATATATTTAATATAAAAGAAGACGAGTTGGTTTTATCCAATGGTTAGTTAGATAGATTTAAAAAAAAAATAATATTTGTTAGTATCGCATATATGAAGAATTGGAAAGCGTACTAATAGCATTTCTTCCAGAAGAAAGAATTAAATTTCATCAAATATTAAGCTAATATTCTTTAGACCAAATATATAATATTGATAAAACAGGTTTTTATTATAGAATATCTCTGAATCAAACACTTTTTACTAAACCAGTGCTTGGTTAAAAAAAGATAAAATGTAAATTACTATTCTTTTGGGTGTAAATATTATAGTAACTGACAAACTTAAGTTATAGGTGATTAATATATCAAGACATCCAAGACCTCTTTTACATATTAATTTAGATTGTCTTCTAGCTCATTATCAAGAAAATTCTAAGATATAGATAAATTCAAGGATATTTGAAGAAATACTTCTTGATATGAATAAGCATTTTATAGTGCAAAATAAAAATATTTCATTTATAATATTTATCTAAACTCATTTTGGATTTGGCTAAACGTCTAAACCTTTAATTTTGCTAAATTTTTACTAAATGTTTGATATAGTTTCGCCATTTTTATAAGCTTTAATATAGTTTTACCTTTTTCTGAATTTCTCAGATTTTTTAATAAGATTTTAATATAATTTAACCAAGTTTTACTTTTATCATTTAGACGTTAATCTAAACTAAAGATGGGAACTGTAATTAATATGTTGCAACTTTTAATGTTGCAACTTACGTTGCAATTAGTTTTAACCTA